TCTTATCCTAAATGAGGCTTTTTTAACCAAACTAAAAAGTCAAAAAGTTAACTCACATCCTAAACGAAAGTTTAATAAATAAGATTAGATTTAAATTGTCCAAAAAAAATGAAGAATATTTAATACTAAAAAAGCCATAAAGGCAGCTCACATTCCAAACGAAAGCTTAATAAATAAGATTAGATTTAAATTGCCCAAAAAAATGAAAAATACTTAAGACTAAAAAAACTAAAAAACTAACTCACATCTCAAACGAAAGCTTAATAAATAAGATTAGATTTAAATTGTCCAAAAAAATGAAAAATACTTAAGATTTGTCAAAACCTAACCTAAGTTTAACTTAATAAATTCGACTAGGTTTGAATTATTCAAAAAAAGCACCCTCAGACTTAGACTCAAATACTTTGTTTTGTACTATTATTCTCAATAATTTTAAAAGTATACCAACAGGTATAGTTATCTTTTTACACACAATTAGATGTAATCAAAATAATGCTAAAATATCTCATATGAGTTGGATTTAAATAAAATGTTAGGGCTCAATTTATCATTATTCTAATAGTAATGCAAATAATTTAACTCATATGAGTTGATTTTAAATCAACATCTACAATTTGTAAATGATTTATTTTATTTTATTTTTTATCATTTTAGTTCCCTCTGTAGCTTATTAGAGCATCTCCAACGGTAGTAGGCATTTTACCTATCTAAATATTACTATAAAGTATATATTTTATTTTGCCTATCAACTGTTTTATGTTTTTACTCCAACCATGCTCTTTATTTTAGCTGTTATCCAAATACTATTAATTTTACAGAATGCCACGTCAACAACAAAGATGGAGGGAAATGATCCTAATGATTGAATACATTTTGCCTAGCGTTTAAGGCTAGCTACATGTAGCTAGTGAATATGAGTTGAGCCAAAATGCCTAATCATATGCCTAGTGCCTTGGAATTGAAAAAAAATGAATCACACTAGGCATTTTAACTAACAAGTATTATATGCCTAGTGCATTGGAGATTTCAACTCATTTTGTGGTAGGCAATCACATGTTTGTGTATTTTTCCAGTCCCACTAATAAATGATTCAGTTTAAATTTGTCCTGCCATGTTATATACCTACTTTCCTTTCTAATTCACTAATAAATGATTCAGTTTAAATTTGTCCTGCCATGTTATATACCTACTTTCCTTTCTAATTATATTTATTAAAAATATTTATATGCATATATAATGTATAATTTAATTTTGTTTAATATAACAAAATTAAAATATTAAAATATTACACTTAAATACTGATTTTGATTCCTTCATTTCTCTATCTTACATATTTTAAGTTGGTAAATGCTATAGTGCCCTATGGGCATTATTTAATATTGAAATTAAGGTAAACAATATATTGAAAAATAGATAAAAATATCAAAAAAATGCATTAATTTTAATAAAAAAATTCAAATTCAATAAAAAGTGTATCGTATTTTTTTTTAGGTGCCAAAGGGCACTTGTTAGCAGAACCATTTTAAGTTTTACGAATGAGTAAATTACACTTTGCCCCTTTATATTTGATTATTTTTACACTTTGGTCTTTTATATTTTAAATTTTTTTTTTCAATTTATTGTTAAAGTTAACTTATGTTTAAAATTAGATAAAAAAAACAGTACGTTAACTGTTATATAATACAAAAAATATATTATTATGATTTGATTTGAATTTGTGTTAGAAATATGAATTATATAATAACATATTATTATACCATATAACTCATTTTTCTGTCTAATTTTAAACTTAAATTAATTTTTAAATAAACAAAGCTTGTGCGGTTGTCAAATCTGTAAAGGACCCATGAGTGTGGGCCCAACCCAACTCCATTCAACGGTTTGAGCAAACTTTTCTAGACGTGGTCGGCGGAGCATGACTTGGGCTAGCCGCCTTTTCAGCCCACCATTGCCGCCCTGCTGACCTGGAATTTTTTTACTAATTTTATAATTTAAAAAATTACATTATATTCATTTCAATTTATAATCATGTAATAAATGATCAATTTTATAAAAAAAATTATTAAGTTTAATTAATAATTTTTAATAATATTATAAAATTTTAGTTAATAATTAAGATAATTTTATTATATAAAAGAATAATTAGAAATTTTATTTTTTGAAATTTTGGCTTTGTTTGGTTTGACTTTGGGAGATAAGTTTTTAAAAAATATTTTAAAAAGAGAGTTTAGAAATTTCTGTAGTTTATTTGGCTGTATAATTTGAAAATAATTTTGGAATTTGAGAATTTGAAATGATTTGATATTTTGTTATAATTGAGTAGATATGTGAGAGAAAAAGTGATTGAAAATGAGAGAGGAAAGAGAAAAATTGATTGATTGATGTCTAGGAGAGAGAAAGTGATTTTGAAAGGATAGTGGACATATAAACAGAAAAACTAAGGTAATAATAAATAGATGGATAGCAGACATAGTGTGTTTGATTTGTGTTTTGAGATGAATTTTCAAAAAAACAAAAAATTGGAAAAAGAGTTTGGAAATTTTTTTGGTTTGTTTGGTTGTGTATTTTGAAAGTAGTTTTGGAATTTGAGAGTTTGAAATGATTTGATAATTTGTTATAATTGAGTAGATATATGTGAGAGAAAAAGTGATTGAAAATGAGAAAGGAAAGAGAAAAATTGATTGATTGATGTGTAGGAGAGAGAAAGTGATTTTGGAAATTTTTTAAGAAAAATTACAAACCAAACAAAATTTTTAAAAACCAAACAAGGCTTTTATTTTTTCTATTAATTCTATTAAATAAAATATAATAACAAAAAGACATTTATAATTTTTAAAATTACAAAAAAATAATTTATATTTTAAATAAATCTAAAATATATTTATAATTTACTCGAAATAATACTCTCTCTCTAACACTAATAAAGGCCAAATCTAGACTCACTTGTGATTCTCTTCATTACGTTTTTATGATAAAGAGAGTTCATCTATCTTCAAATAATAAATTTAATAATTTATTTTAATTTAAATTAATTATAACTCTTTATTTTTATTTAATAATCTTTGAATATAAAATAAAAATCTTTCATTACATACATATTTAAAAATCTTTCATTACATACATATTTAAAATTTGAAATATAGAGTATCAAACTGAAACGTCTCTCACTCCTTGGTTGGATTCCACGCTGGAAAAGTATATGTTTGGTCGTTATAAAATTCCCGAGATTCCATCTCTTATCTTTTGCTTGACATTTTCTAGCTAACCAAGCAGAACACATGAGATAATTGGACCCACATTTACAGTTCATTTCATTTGAATTTCACATTAATTTCGCTTTTCCTAGTTCCAGCACAGTAACACCTCCACCAATATTTAAACTTGCCACAGAGCTTTAATCACCGTCTTCAAACCCTGAGACATTCTCAAAGCGGAGAAGCTAGCTTTGCCCTCAGACTCATCGTCGTTGATTCTCCTTTCACTAGAGGTATGCGATGATCTGTTTATTTTCTGCTGGATTCTAGGGAAAATTGAAGCTTTCTTTCTGTGATGATAGAAAATTTAACCCTTTTGAAGTCTTATTTTTATTTTTTTTCTTCTAAATTTTCCTCAGCGATACGAGGGTTTGATTGTGATGTTTATTTCTCGATCTGGTTTAACTTATTTTTTGTTTAGTTTTATTGCTCTAAAATTGTATGTACCGCGTGTGCTTAGAAGAACACGTAAAAATTATAGTAACAGCAAAGAACTTCAAGCTATTATCAGTTCTGGGTTTCTGGTTTCCTTGCAAACAAATGGTTTGGGAAGAAATAAATTTGGAATCTTATGGTGGATTGGGAGGGCTTATTAGCAGTCAAAACTATGTGTAGTTGTGCAATTTTATATTTAATATGCTAATTTATATTCATATCATTTTGATTCATGCAAGCCAAATCGTGGATTTGTCGAAATTTCAGTAATTTATACAAATGAAATACAAATATCTACTGTCTTTATCAGCCTTACCAGAAGTGACAAAGATCAGGAGGTTGGTATCACTAGACAGTAGTTAGTAAGTAGGTAAGGATCTAGTGTTTTATTCTTGTCAAGTGGACTCTGCCCTGTGATCTAGCTCATGAACCTTGAAATACTTTGTTTAGCAGATGATTAGGTGTTCAAGTTCAACCTTTTGTTGTTCATCTGTAGATAAAAAAAAATGCCATGTTACTTCGAAAAAAAAAATGAGATAAAACATGGCATATTGCATATGCCCCTGAAAATATCTGAAGAACAATCTTATTCCTTGTAGTTTGGTTTTTGTATTTTAGGATTGAATAGTGCTATAGAAATGGGTATTTGCCCATAAATCCTATAGCTACTTTGTGGTCTGCACTTCTCTCTATTTTAAAACAATAAATTACCATTATTTCTTTATATATTGATGAGAGTGTCCTTACTCTACCAAGTTTGGTGATGATCTCCTATGTAAATTAGTAGGTGAAAAGTACTTTTCTTTTGGAAAGTAATAGTATTCAAGATTGAATCTATGAAGATTGATGTGATAATGGTGCTTTTGTTTAAAAGTGAAAGGGTTAGGCACTATTTTTTCTTATAAGCTCTGCTCACTATTTTGTCTGCTCTAAATCCGTGATGTGTTAATTATTACTCTTGAATTTCTATCATCAATTTTCATTTGTTTCCTTTGACATTGAATAGCATCTAGTATGATCTGCAATTATGTAGTTTGTTGTCTCATCGGAGATTGATTGTGTAGTTTTTTGGGCTTATTTTTGTTTGTTGTCATGTTTATTCGAAAACAAATAGCAGTTTGACATGTCCAAGAAATTGTGCATTGATATTTTTTTTTTCCCTAGTTTTTGGGCTTTGTTTTTATTAATTGAATGTGATTATATTGTGGTCAAAATTACAAGGTATTTATTTAAGTGTCTCATCATACTACTATGACGTGCTAGTTTCTTATAGTTGTTTGTTTTACTCTGACAACATCTTCCTTGTGCTAGGTTATAAAAGATGGCTGATGCTGAGGACATTCAGCCTCTTGTCTGTGACAATGGAACTGGAATGGTCAAGGTTAGTACAAGCCCGGCCCTGAGATTTTCGGGGCCCAAAGCCGATAATCAATTAATAAATTTTTGGGATCCTTCACATTTTTATTTTATTGAATGAAAAAAATAAAATATAAAGGTAAAAGATAAAAGATTTGTGTTACTTAGCATTACATTACAACAACTAATAAGTGTCACTTGATCCTCGCTCTTCTTGCATTTTTAAAAGCAAATAAATCACTCGTACTTGCATAATCTAGTTTTTTTGTAAAATCATTTTTAATGGATAACAATGCTAATTATTTTAAATGGGCCTTTCAATTTTTTAATGGGTCAATTTATTTTAAGTTAGTTTGGGTCTTCCTTAATTTTTTTGGATTTAAAACATACAATATATTACACTAAACTATAATAGGAGGGGACTCCTTTTTTGGACATATTTTCAATGGATAACAATGCTAATTTTTTTGAATGGGCTTTTTAATTTTTTAATTAGTCAATTTATTTTAAGTTAGTTTGGGCCTTCTTTAATTTTTTTTGGACTTAAAATATACTCAATATATTACACTAAACTATAATAGGAAGGGGGCCATTTTTTGGGTCTATTTTGAAGGGCCCTAAGCCATGGCCTGGTGGGCCGATGCCCAAGGCCAGCCCTGGTTAGTGAGTGTCACAATATTCTATGTAATTCAGCAGGACTTAAGTTGCTTACATTTTCTTCTTTTATTTCAATTATGCAAATGCTGATGTCTTCTTTGCCCTGACATCTACAGGCTGGATTTGCTGGTGATGATGCTCCGCGAGCAGTGTTCCCCAGTATTGTTGGCCGACCTCGACATACAGGAGTCATGGTTGGCATGGGTCAGAAGGATGCTTATGTTGGTGATGAAGCTCAGTCAAAAAGAGGTATCCTCACCTTGAAATACCCAATTGAACATGGCATTGTCAGCAATTGGGATGACATGGAGAAGATCTGGCATCATACTTTCTATAACGAGCTCCGTGTTGCCCCTGAAGAGCACCCAGTACTTCTTACAGAAGCACCACTGAACCCGAAGGCAAATAGGGAGAAGATGACTCAAATTATGTTTGAGACCTTCAATGTGCCCGCCATGTATGTTTCTATCCAGGCAGTTCTGTCTCTTTATGCCAGTGGTCGTACAACAGGTTTGTATTCATATTTGTCGAGCTTATTTTGTTTTGCTGGATAGTCTTCTTCTCTAGTGCTGACTCGCTATTTGATATATAGAAAAACTCTATTTCACTTGCAAACCACTTGGGAATGACTGTCAAGATCTTTCTTTTGACCATTTTGCTCTATTTAGTATCATATCATCTTATTAAATCCGGCAATAACTTCAAAATAGTGGAAAACATTTTTTTGGGAAGCATTTTGTGCTGCAAACTGTAAATTGTATGGTGCCATTATAAAACATTAAAAAAATTAGGAACTACATTCTATGTTGAGAAAATAGAGGATTGATTTGGTTAATTATCAAATCATCCATGATTTTGTATGTTGCCCATGTTCTGGGGGCAGCCACTTCTTACGTATAATGCCAAAGGTTAGGTCTGTATCCAATCCATCTGTTCCAACATCGGGCATCCTTGATTAATGGGGACTGGTACTGAGGAATGGCTTTGAATTACCTACATATACAGGAGATATCTGTCTGAAGGACATGCCCGTGTTATGCCTTTTTTGTTTTTGGGGTGCTATGCTAATCTTCTACGCATGATGGCTTGCTCATTAACTGGATATTTGTTATATTTGAAAAGGTATTGTCTTGGATTCTGGGGATGGTGTTAGCCACACAGTGCCAATTTACGAAGGTTATACCCTCCCACATGCAATCCTTCGGTTGGACCTTGCTGGTCGTGATCTAACAGATTCATTGATGAAGATCCTCACTGAGCGAGGGTACTCCTTCACCACAACAGCTGAACGGGAAATTGTCCGTGATGTGAAAGAGAAACTTGCTTATGTTGCCCTTGATTACGAGCAGGAGTTGGAAACTGCAAAGAGCAGCTCTGCAGTGGAGAAAAGCTATGAACTTCCTGATGGGCAAGTGATCACTATCGGAGCAGAGAGATTCCGCTGCCCTGAAGTTCTATTCCAGCCATCGCTCATTGGAATGGAAGTTGCTGGAATCCACGAATCCACCTACAACTCCATCATGAAATGTGATGTTGATATCAGGAAGGATCTCTATGGAAACATTGTCCTTAGTGGTGGATCAACCATGTTCCCAGGGATTGCTGACCGGATGAGCAAGGAAATCACTGCCCTTGCTCCTAGTAGCATGAAGATCAAAGTGGTGGCACCTCCTGAGAGAAAGTACAGTGTCTGGATTGGAGGCTCAATCTTGGCATCTCTCAGCACATTCCAGCAGGTAAATTATGTGCCTTCAACACAAATCTCTCTCTCTCTCTCTCTCTCTCTATATATATATATATTTGGTATGACATGTATATGCGAGACAAGTTTTCTTATATCCTTGTTGGGTAGCCATGAGGATATGGAAAATAAGGTTGAAGCTTAGCAAAAATGGTTGAATGTTTTCTCAGTTCTTATTGCGGTTATGTTCTGTTGCTTATGCTCTCAAAATGTTGCAGATGTGGATATCCAAGGATGAATATGATGAATCTGGTCCAGCTATTGTTCATCGGAAGTGCTTTTGAGCTGGGTGAAGAGAATGCCCTCGTTGTCTTTTTCTTTTCAAGGTCCTGTGTGGCTTGTGTCATATGTGAGTTCAGTACAGTTTAGTTTTGAAGCTTGGGATTGTAAGTTTGATTACCATAATATGCATTTGAACTAGGTCTTAGGAGCCAAACCATTATTTTCAGTGGGTGGCGGGAGATGAATCTTAGTTATTCAACTTGTTTGCATGTTTTACAATGTTTCAGAAACAACTTTTTTAGGTTCTTTTTAGGAGAGAAGGCAAGTTTTATCATCCTTTTTTTCGCCCTTTATGGGATTTGTGAGTTACTCTTGTTTATTATTGTGTGAGTTTTTGATTTAAATATATCCGTCTACATTAAACTGTCCAAAAGGTCAAACTGTATAGTTGGTGATCTTTCTTCCTCATGATGTGGGTTAACGCATATCAGTCGATGAATTTTTGGTTTATTTGACTTGTCAGCCTACACAGTAAACTGAAACTGTCCTCCAAATGGATGAATTGCACTCGTGATCTTTCTTTCAAGACACTGGTTAACATTCATCAGGCGATGAATTTAGGGTTTGTAATACATTTTTACGGGTTCCCACCTGTTCAAAGCATTGGACATGGGTGCCTCGTGTTTCTCTTGCTGTGGTTGGGACATGGTGACATTTTAATCTTCAATCTTTCCTTAATTGTGTGTGGACTTGTTATACATGCTTTATACTTCAACCATATCTTGCATCTCTTTTGGGCTCCGATTGGTTTCCTGTCCGCCAAAGGGTTTTGGATATGTTGTTTTCTGTTGTGCAATTGCTGACTAAATATTCATGGAGTGTTCTATGCACATTTTGGGTCCTATTGAACAAATTTAGTTCTATGCACGTTTCTTGCTTTTGGTGTGGGATTGATGTGCATCAGGCTGATATCTACTTCAATTTTAGTTTCTCGCATTTTATTTTTTTGGATAAATTACATAAAATTTCACTAGTTTAACATAATTATATTAAATTCATTTTAAGGTTTTTTACTATAAAATATTTAGGGTCAATAAGAGAATTTTTAGAATAAATGAAGTTATACATTTTTATAATAATGTTATGTATTTTTGTGATAATATTATGTATTTTTCATATCTCATAAATTGTTGTAACTGTATCAAAAGATTAACATTTGTCATAAAAATAAATAACATGCATTAAAAATATGTTCCAAAGTGTATACAATACACACTTTACAAAATTTTACCCACACAATCTCAAAAATCATTTTTATAACCAACGGATGAAATGAAAATTTCCAATGAGTATGCGTCATTAAGTAAAAAGGTTCCAAATAAAAAAATTTGGGTTTATAGTTTGTTGTTCTATCATTTCTTAAATGAAGCACAAAATAAATAATTTCAAAGCTAAACTATCATTTGGTACCCTTGAACTTTGTTTTTTTGTTTTTTGTTTTTTTATTTTGATTAGCTTGGACCTAATCAATTCGTTAGACTTTCAGATTTATCATCAATCAAATCCCACATTACAAAAAATAAATGTTGAAAGATTATATTACCTATGATCTTAGGCTTCTTAATCTTTCAAAATTTTTGATAACACAACAGATTGAAACCATCGGGGCCTGGAGCTTTGTTCTTATTACAATCCTTAATTGCAGCCAACACCTCAGCTTCACTGAACTCTGCAACCAGATGATGAGAAACATAGTTTGCCTTAATGGTGTTGAATGGCCCTTCCAAGACGGGTCTTTTGACCCAATCCTCAGCAAACAACTTCTTGAAGTGTTGGTAGATCTCTAATTTAACCTTGCTAGGATCCTCATAAGACACCCCGTTAACTACAATAGAGCTGATCATGTTTCGACTCTGTCTGGTATTAGCAAAAACATGGAAAAATCTAGTATTCTTATCTCCATTTAGAGTCCAGTTCAATCTGGATTATCTGAACTTTGTGTGTTGTTTTGATGTCCTGAGGAGTTTGTAGTAGTTTAGTTTCTAGTGTTGAGTTATGGTTGTGTTAGGCTGCAAGTCAAGTCCAATCTGTTAGAATTCTGGGTCTGGGCTGCTAGCATGCTAAGTGCGGAAGGTTGGGGGGTTTTTGTCTTGCTGGGCTATTCTGTTTTGTTCTGCTGGGTAGCTGCAGCTATGAAATTCATAGTGACATCTGATATGTTAAGGTGAGCAGGGTTGCTGAGATGGTTGTGGATGGAGATGGTCTGAGCATCTGCTGGTATGATCCTTGCTGTGTGTGAGTGGGCTGGTACCTTGTCTTTGGTTTGCTACTGGTGCAATCAGAGTTTATGGATGTTAATTGGTGGTGTGCTATGTTGGTCTGTCATGGTGCAACCTGAGTCTATGGGCTGCTGTCTGTGTTTGAAAGTGTGTGATTCTGGGCTGATGGCAAAGGTTCAAATATGCATTATCTGGGCTGATTTTGCTTAGAGCTGCTATTAGGCTGCAAATCAAGTCCAATCTGCTGGAGTCCTGGATTTGGGCTGCTAGCAAGCATAGTGTGGAAGGTTGCAGTTGACTTCTAATATGTCAAAGTGAGCAGGGTTGCTGATTGAATGGTAATTGGTGTTTGAATGGCAGAGTTTAAGGTCCTAGTATGTTATGCTCAGCTACTGGTGCAACCACAATAAGATTCTGGGCTGCTATTGTATGTTATGCTCAGCTACTGCTTGGTGGATGACTCTGTCTGGTGATTTGGGCTGATTGTGGTGTGCTTCTATGGTGATCTGTCTTTTGACCCAGCTGTGGAGTGTTTTTGTTGCCATGTTGTTTTTGTTTTGTTTTGTTCCGCTCTGTTTGTTGGTTTCTCACCAACTTGGAGCCTCGAGTGTGTGCTAGCAGATGATTTAGTGTGCGTTTAGGTGCCAACCTAGTTGGGATCCAAATGTTTCACTGTGATGCTTTTTGGACTCTCTTCTTTATTGATGTATATTATCATACTCGTTATGTTTTCCATCAATAAAGCTTCTCTTTTGCCGATCAAAAAAAATTAAGTGATGAGCCGAAAGAAAAACAAAAGAAAGCATTTTTTTTCCTCAAAAAAAATGGAAGAAGAAAAGACTGTATGTACCTATTCACATATCTAGTAGAAAAGGTTGCCAAACTAATTGGAAAAAAAAAATAAAAAAAAATAGAGTAGTGTTTAGAAATCAAGAGCTTGTAGTCCCTTGAACAAAATCCAAGCTCCAAGTCATCGCACGACACCCTCATATGCCACCTCTCTGCTTGTACCAACCCTAACTGTACCATCTACAATCACAGTGAAATTCACCAGTCCATGTTTCCAATCCAAACTAATCTCATCAATCAGAGTCTTATTATCAATGGACACCAACAAGGCATCAATACTCGCCGGCATGATCGACTCGTCATCCTCGTCCAAATAAAAAGGAGCCATTGATGTTGATGATAGAGAAACACCATGGTAGAGAACCGAAGCATTAAGTCTTTTGTAAAAGATCTTGCCTTCATTGTTAGGGTTTTCCACCGAAATGCCGATGTTCCAATGAACAGTTAGTGAAGATGAAGATGAAGATGAAGATGATGATGATGATTGGGAGATGTGGAATGGAGAAACTGAGATCGAAGTCACTTGAATTTTTGGTGGATACCTGAATGAACCCTGAATAGCTAAGTATGTTAAAGCGCCAACAAAGATTAGTAATACTAAAAATCACAGGCAGTTAAACGTGCTAGGCTTCTCTTCTGCGAGTTTCGCCGCCGCAGTGCTTGGTCTGTCACCAATGGTGGGTAACCCATTACTGTTCCATTGAGAATTTCCATTGAGAAAAATAATAATGAAAATATTCCTCACCCTAACCCTAATCTCAACCCTAGCCCTAGAGATTAACTTTTTTTTGGGTGTTAAATACCATCATCATCATCATCATCATCATCATTAATAGATACAGAAATCATAGTTGCTTTGGCCTCATTTGACAATATCACTTTTTCACTTAAAATTAAAAAAATCATTAAAAAAATTAAAAAGTCAGCAACTTATATCAAAAAGTCAAATATTCTTTTTTTCTCTACTTTTTAAATATCATATCGTAAAAAATCAAAAAAATCATCTCAAACATATTAATTTGTTTATATTATATTTTAACCAAAAAACTACTTAAAAAAATCTATTTCCAAACGAGGCCTCAGGATTTATATATCCATGTTTGATCAGCTTAATTAGCAATGCCTCATTCAACAAAACTCCTCGAAAAAGGGATTTTTAAACAAAATAAAGCATCATCATCCAATAGTAATATGTATGAGGACGAAATAATCTTCTCGTATAATTCTGTTGATCAAGTTTGCACTCCTCCAAACGTTGTCGCTTTACTTCCTAAAAACACAAACGTGAGCTAGCTGGCAAGTATGTGCCGGATACCTCTCTGATGCCTAAGTCAGCAAATAGACAATAGACAAAAAGCTCTGTGTTTTAGAGAGTAAAAATTGTAATACCTGTCCATAGGTCCTGCTATAAGCTTTTATAGTTTCCGCCTTGCACAATCCTAGTAGGACCTCAACTCTCTTTAGTAGAGTCCTCCTAGGAATAAAAAAGATAATGCTTATCTTTTTACACCCTCCTCACTGCTTAACCAAGTAAGATGGTCCTACCACGGTCTGGTAGCAAAACAACCAAGTTAACCCTGCCACACCTTACAACAGATTTAACTGTGCTCACTTAGCTCAGTTCTGCCTTGTCCCGTCATCTAGCTCGATTCTCTTCCATCTATATCTCGGTTCAGAGCACCAAGACCAAGCTACTAGCACACAGCCTTGGCCAAACAGACGGGATCAAGGACCGGGCTATGCAAGCCATTACCTTAGCCCATAGCTCGGTCCATTTCCCAACTAGTCCTAGCTCGGCCCATGTTCAAATATAAATTACCCTCTCAATTGCCCCTTAATTCCATCTGCAACGCATGATTTAGGATTATTCTTCACCAGTCGAGCTAAAACATCCAAGCCAACCGAACTAAAATAAGTAACTCCATCGAGATTAAAATGTTCAACCCCACCGAGCTGGGTTAGCTCAATCTTCAGTTCTGTACCTGTCACAACCCGTCGCTTCACGTACCTGACATTATGTCTTGTCTGTGACACGCGGCACATGTCTATTGATTCTTTAAATTGCGACAGCCGTCCCACGTTTATCAAAAAACATTTGAAAAGTCCCGCCGTTTTTGTACCTATTCAAAACCCATTTTATGAATCACACCCTCACTATTCATCTTCTTCCCTTCTGTGCTTCTAAGACCTGCTCCTGCTTCTGTGCTCCTGTCCCTTCCCCTTTACTTGCTCTCTTGTTGGCTGGGTTTTGTTCTTACGCTTAAAACTCGTAAGTTGCTCAATACCTCTTTCTAATGTTCTTTTG